TGAGATACCGCACCCCGCGGGGCCGCTTCGTGCACGTCCCACCTCCGCTGCCTCGCTCAGACTGGGCCAATGACTTCGGGAAGCCCTGGTGGAAGGGGCCGAATTACCAGGTGGGGCGGCTGTCTGCCAGGACCCGGAACATCCGTATTATTAACACTCTTACGTCGCAGGAGCACACACTGAAGGTGAGATCTGGTGTCTGGGGACAGGCTGGTGGGAACTGGAAATCACTCTGGAAGCTGTGTTTCTTCCTTTCACATTGTCATGACAGAGGAAAGCAAATGACCCAGGTTCCCAGGGTTGGAAATTCTAGAAGTATGTTTGGATCACAGCTACAAGTCTCCTTCATAGGTCCAGGCCAGCACATCTTGGAAGGGCATCTATGCTGTTACAGACAGCAGCGGGACTCTTAGTTTAGTGAACTGCAGGTGACTGGCTTTGACTCTGTTGAGCCATTTGTTTGTTAGAAGTGGTAGGACTCTGGTGTCTTTATTGTGTGCTGGAGCCTCAACTTTACTTCTCTGGGACTATGGGGTGCCTGAAGGGTACTATCTGCTAATGGGGCACTCTGATTCAAGCTCTGCGGTTTAGGGGAACTGATTCACTTCTGGTATTCCCCCCAGTTTCCTTAGAGAAAACCCTAAAGAAGCTAGGCACAGGGCCCTTCTCCTGGCCTTTGGGGAGTGTGTGTGTATGTTCCATACACAGTTCTAGAGGTGAATGCTTGTGTGTTCTTTAGGTGGGGGCTCTGGAATCAATGTGGGAAATCCTACACCGATACCTCCCCTATAATGCACATGCTGCCAGCTATACGTGGAAATATGATGGGAAGAATCTGAACATGGATCAAAACCTGGAAGAAAATGGGATCCGAGACGAAGCAGAAGAGTTTGACTATCTTAATTTGGATAGCACACTTCATATCCCTGCAGTACTGCTCTACTTCAATGATGACCTCACAGAGCTTTAGCAAAGGAGATGTGCATGTAGACATATTTGGGTTTGCCTCTTTCTGTGCCTTGAGGTAAAGAGGCATGGGTCTGTAGGGCCTGGCCTAGACCTCTATTGCCCTCTGGAAACTGGCCTATGGTTCTTGTACCCTTCTGAAATGTAAGGACCCTTATCCCTAGCGCCTCTATGATTTGCTCAGAGAATATTAGTGGGGATACTAGGAGAGAATTAATCCCTATAAATGATAGGAAGAGACCTAGGGTATTTCAGTTGGATTGTGTAGAGGAGGTAGATTTCAGGCAGAACTCTTTAATAGTAAGAGAAAGACACATGGGAATGAAGGGATGGAAGAGCTTTTTGAGATGTTTGCAGGAAGATGGGGTTTACAAAGACAGGATCCAGAAATTCCTATCACCAACTATGGTTGGTTGGTCAATTCCCTTTCTAAAGGTGGTTGGCAGGAAAAGTGAATGGCTATCAGTCAATTCAGGATAGAAATTATGCTGAGAGTTTTATGCATCCTATAGGTGAATGAATGCTGGTAATGCTGTTTCACAGACAGTTCCTTAGGAGTCTAGAGAGGTTCAGTAGCACAAAAGCACATTAGAAACCTAAGAGCCACAATGCAAATCCACAAGCCTGCCCAACTTTGAAAGTCAGGCTCTTTTCAGTGTAAAGGGACATCCTCAGTAGTTTCACCCAATGCTAACATTTCTGATGGCTGCTCTCAAACCATGTTTTTGGTATGTGAGCTTGTCCTAGGCTTGCTACACAATGGGGAATGTAACCTATTGTGTTGTCAACATTTACTCTATTGAAGGGAGTTAATTAGCAGAGCTCTAGGGACAGAGGCAGGGAGGCTGGATTTCAGCCAAGCATTAGCTACGAGGCCGCTTCTTTGTTAATGTTACAGTAAGATTTCTGACTGGGGGCAACAAGATAGATATTTACTGACTCCAGGAAAAGCCAGAATAGGAAAGGGCCTGTAGATCAGGACACTGTAGTGAGGGACCCAAAAGGGGGTACTTTCTTTTTCCTTTTCTCTCACATTTACAGAAGCAAGGAAAACAGGGTTGACTTGAAAAGATGGTTGACTCTAAAGAGCAGGCTTGTTGGCTAGATTTGGTTCCCTTAATCCTTAGCAGGGGAGGGGAATTAAGAATAACGGATAAATTGAGCCAGGCATGGTGACTTGAATCCCAGCACTGGGGAGGCAGAGGCAGGCAGATCTCCAGGAGTTCGAGACCCGTCAACAAAGTTAGTTCTAGGATAGCCAGAGCTGTTACACACAGAAACCTTGGCTGGGGTGGGGGTGGGAGGTGAGGTGGTGACGACACACAGATGGACTGATGGACAGACCCAGAATAAGTGATGTTGACTTCCCTGCTGCAGCAGCAGCAGCAGCAGCAGCGGCGAACACAAATCAAGGAATACCTCTTCCCAGCTGTGGCCTCAGGCTCCAGTGGAGGGTAATGTGATTTCCATGAGACACTGGGTGGGCTGCATTGTTTCCTGAGGGTAACTGTGGGACCAACCCTGTTGATTTCAGCGGTTTCTGAATCCACTAATGCTAAGGACTTTCACATAGTCTCCTGCAACCTAAAAATCCATACATTGTTTGGATCAGCCAATCACGATGTTTAGTCGTCTCTGAAATGACCTTATGTGTATTTTTTTTTGCTGTTGTTTCCAAGACAGGGTTTCTCTGTGGCTTTGGAGCCTATCCTGGAACTGCTCTGTAGACCAGGCTGGCCTCAAACTCACAGAGATCCGCCTGCCTCTGTCTCCAAGTGCTGGGATTAAAGGCATGCGCCACCACCACCTGGCAACCTTCGGTGTATTCTTTTTTATTCTTCTAAGTCCTAAACTATTTGAGCACCAAAGGCATGTTCCTCTCATGGCATCCTCAGGACATGCACTTCTGGGATGCACTTATTTTGCCCAAACTTGTCTCTCTTCCAAAGCATCCTTTTATGGGGAGGCGGGGTCTTACTCTGTTGGAACTCATAGAGATCCACCTGCCTACTTCAGAACTTGTTAGAAACACACTCCTTTCCCTACATGCCTAAGCTCTCATCAATTCTGTCCCTAAAATCTTTGGAATCTGTTTTTGTGTAATAAAATAACCTTTGTCTCAGTATTTTTCCATTTCGACTTCTGCCTTGACGAATGTAAACGTTTTACTTTCTGCCTCAGATCTTCAGTAGGGTTTTCACAATTTTGGAATAAAGCTCTAAATTCAAGAAGCCTTGCATAAGTCAGGCCCTGCCTTCCTTGCAAATGTCCTTCCCTAGCAGTCCTCTTTGTCCCGTGACCTGTACATCCTGGGTGGCCTTCTGATCATGAAGTCTCTTATTGCATCACTTAAAACAGAAAGTGTTCTCCCAGCTTTCCACTGCACCCTTCTACTTTCCAGTGTTCTTATTATCACTATAGGATGATGTGAGTGGACTCCAATGCCTGGCTGCTAGAATGTAAGCTCGTAAGGGCAGGTCTCATTCACTGCTGTATTCTCATTACTGAGCACATAGCTGCTGCCCAATAAATGTGACCAAATGAACTCAGGTATCAAGGAATTCATCTGTCTGTAATAACTAGTGGGTGTAACATTGTGTCCTGAAGGCAAAGTGGGACTAGGAGATAGTAGGATGCCCAGCCCTGTGCCTAGATCTCCACCCTTAAATTTTTCTTTTTTCTTTTCTTTTGCTTTCTTTTCTTTTTTCTTTCTTTCTTTTTTTTTTTCCAAGACAGGGTTTCTCTGGCTTTGGAGGCTGTCCTGGAACTAGCTCTTGTAGGCTTGGGTGGTTGAACTCAGAGATCCACCTGCCTCTGCCTCTCCAGTGCTGGGATTAAAGGTGTGCGCCACCATCACCTGGATCCACCCGTAGATTTTTTTGTTGTTATTGTCGTTTGTTTTTTTCTTCCACAGAGTCAAGACTCCAGATTACTCTGCAGACTCTGGCACCAGAGATAGTTGGGGGTAATACACCTGTGATTTCCCCTGTGGCCACCAGGTGGCTCTAATGACTAAAGAGTCAGGGAGAGAGGAACGTGAAACCCAACTTCAAAGAAGTGGTAATGGACACACGCCTTTAATCCCAGCACTCAGGAGGCAGAGCAGGTGGATCTCTCAGAGTTCGACGAGGCCAGCCTGGTCTACAGCCAAGGCTATTACACAGAGAAACCCTGTCTCAAAAAAAGCTTTTTAATTAGAAAAAAATAAAAGCCACTAATGAGGCAGATGACTGGTTAAGAATGCTGACTGCTCTTCTAGAGATCAGGGTTCCATTCCCAGGACTCACATAGTGACTAACAGCCGTCTGTAACTCTAGCTCTAAGGCTCTGACAGCTTTTCTTCAGCGAGAACACACACACACACACACACACACACACACACACACACACACGAATCTCGAAGTCATCGTGGGATGACATGAATAGTGGACTTGAGCAGCTGCTGGGATTAAAGGCGTGCTCCACTATCACCCACAAGCCTGCTTTTTTTTTTTTTTATATATATATGCTTCTCAGGACTGCTGGCCCAGGAGTGGCACTCCCAGGGGACTGGGGCTTCCAACGTCAGTCATTCATTAAACAATATCCTACAGACTTGCCTGTTGTGTTTTCTAAACTCAGGCTTCTCTTCCTAGATAGTTCTAGCTTGTGTCAAGATGGTAAAACAACCAGGACACATAGCTCATAGGGTGAGAGCGGCAACAGGGACAATGAAGACACATGAGTTTTGCTCATCTGTTAAGACCTGTTACTTAGCTTGTTACAGGCTTTCCAGTAGCTGCTGTCTTGTTCTAAGACTACATACTTGACGTGAGGAATATGTGACTGTAAGCTGAGAGGTAGGAAGCAAACAGAACATGGGTGTAGGGTACAAGTCCTTTTGTGGTGACGGATTGTGTCTGCTGAAAGTAGATGGGGTGAGAGACAGAATGCTAAGAGTGGCCGACCTCAGTCACCTCCATCAGCTTCAAAGGACTCAGCTGGCACTTTTCTACAAGCTGCTTGTGATACACTTCACTGGGGATAATAAGCATATATTCCTTGTAGTTAAAATACCAAGTATTGTATAGAAAAGGGTTCCATACCTCATGGTAAGTCACCTGGATATCTTGAAACTTTCTGAATACGTGTGTGTGTGTGTGTGTGTGTGTGTGTGTGTAATTTCCAATAGATTCCCCAAAGATTCCAAGCACCTGCCTAAAATAGTAGTTACACTCATACAAAAATAACAAAACTTTAAAAGCCTCAAATGTAACTAGCAAACGGGCAGCCTGGCACCAGTCTTCATGATTTATGTCAATCCATATCATATTTACTGTGTTCCCCTGGCAGAAATTTCAAAGTGTTAATCTTTGGCATTAATGACAGGTCTGAAGTATTTCACTGCTGTCCTGGAGCTTTTTTGACCTGGCTGTGCCTTGTAGCTGCAGGGGGTGTCTAGCTCTTTTTTTGCTGGAGACTATACAGCCTCAGTTGTGACATCTGGGTAACTTTGATGCTCCAGCTCTAGAGCTGCATCTGCAGAGTGTACACCGTTGTGTTGTTATTAGGAGAACAGCCACTTTATGATAGGTCGACCAGAAAGCATTGTTTGAAACCCTTGTCTTGGAGATGAAAACTTCAAAGTACAAACAGATAGGAAAAGCATCGGATATGGACATTTTAGGCACACGGGAAACACTATAAAACAAAGCTGATGTGTGGAGTGAGTGAGAGGAGACCACTAAAGTGGGGATAGGAATAAAGCAGACAGATAAGGAACAAGGTTTTAGTCTGCCAGAATCATGTCTCTTTCTTGCCCAGAGCGGTGCCATCTAGTGCCCCCTGAGAGCTATTGTTTAGTGGGAACTCAGCTGTCACCTGTATCCCCAGTAACCACATAATGCCTGACATAGAATTTTAACAAATAAATGCTTATTTCAAGAATGAACAGTATGGGGATGAAGAGATGGCTCAGCAGTTTAGAGAACTTATTGATCTTGCAGAGGACCCAGGCTTAATTCCCAGTAGCTGCATGGTAGTTTACAAGCATCTATAACTCCAGTTCCGGGAGACATGATGCTCTCTTCTGGCCTCTGAGGGGACAAGGCACACAGGTGGTGTACATGCATACATGTAGGCAAAACACTCATACATACAAGTAAAAAATTTGAAAATTTTAAAAAAGAATGAAATTACACACAACTCCCACTTTTAAGTCCATGTGAGCCCAAGTCAAGTGTCCCTTCCTACCTAATCACCACCACTGAAATTTGTGTGGTAAGTAACTTGTGCACTATTAGACCAACCTGGCCCTTTTACTGGGCAGTGGGGAGGATGACTGCTTAGACTTGTCCGTATCAAAGCTGGCTGTTCAAGTTAACTACAAAGATTTTATTTATCCACATAACCAGAGGTCTGCAGTTAGTGAAACCATGATTCTACCAGATCATCAGAGTCATAAGTGTCTTCTCTCCCCTTTTAATCCCCATCCCATCAACGTTTTGGCTACACTGTTTCTAGCCTGTATTTCAGGCAATGTGGGACAGAAGAAAGGACAGTGCCTATATCAAGAAGGCAAGATTTCAACATTTTTAGCAAACCTATGCTTTGGAATTTTGTTGTTATTGTTTTTGAGACAGGGTCTCACTGTGTAGCTCTGACTGACTGGAGCTCTCCATATAGATCAGGCTGGCCTTGACTCACAAGCCCCTCTCAACTATGCTTCCTGGGTGTTGGAATTAAAGTCATCAGCCATCCTAGCCCAGCCATGGGACTAGGTTTTATTTATGGGAAGTGAATTACATTGCAGAGGTACAAAGGAATCTGGGACAGTATTTTATGATACCCTAAACAAAAGAATGGACACTGAATAGGAACCAATGAAATCTTCCATTTACCAACAGTATAAAATGTACTACGCATCCATTTGTTAACAAAGATAACTTGTACTCTATGTCTGTTCCAGGTATTGGGGTTGTAACGATGAATGAGAAAACATTCCCACTTTACTTGGGTTTACACTCTAGTGGGGTGAATAAGTGGAAGAGATCATTTGTCTTTTTAAAGGTTGTATTACATTCTTATTTATGTGTAATGCCTAGCTATAGACATGGGTTTGGACATGTAACAACACAAATGTGCAGGACAGAGGACAACCTGCATGTGGGTCCTGGAGATCACAGCAGGTTCTCCGACTTGGCAGCATGTGCCTTTGTCTGGTAAGCCACTTCACCAGCCCACAAAAGATCATTGCATAGTTTCTGGTTTTTTAAAGATAATCTTATGTAGTCCAGCAGGCCTTGAAACTTACTGTGCAACTGAAGCAGGGCTTAACCCCCTGATCCTTTGGCATTCACCCCACTCAGGGCTAGAATTATAGGTGTAAGCCACTGAACCCAGCACAATCATTGGAGACAGAACTAAAGTTATTATATATACATATATATTATATGTACACAAAACATGAGAATGATTTACTTATGCATTTGTCTCTGCATTTAATAGCATGCTTTCAATAAACTTAAGAGGTAGGCATGACTTTTTTCATTTGTTTTCTTGAAACAGAATCTCACTTTGTAGCCCTGGCTGGCTTGGAACGCTCTATGGTAAAGGCTGATAAGGTGTGTGCAATCACACGTTCCAACTTTTTAAATTTATACTGATGAAAGGACATGGAAGCACTGAGGTGTCATACAACTAACTGACTGGCAGAGCTGGGCTTTGAGCCAAAACAGTTGTAGTCCAATCCCTAGACACTGAGTAACCCCCCCAACTGCAGGGCAAACACAGGGTGCTGCCCACTTACCTGAGGCTTTTAACAAACCATCCCTAGGTGGAGCACCTTAACAATCTCCATCACTTACTTTGCTAGTAGGTCTGCAACTCAGGCAGAATGAAGTAAGACAGCTCATTTCTACATCCAAATGTGTGAGCTGGGTGGATTTCTGGAAGCTGGAGGTTCCATTTTCTTAATTGTTTTTTATTCAGTGCTGTGGCATCGAATACAGGACTTCCAATATTCTAGGCAAATGCTCTTCCACTGAGCTACATCCCAGCCCTGGAGAAAGGACCTCTTTCTTCCTCATACACTTCTACACAGGGAAGCCTGGGCTACCTCACTGCATCATAGCTGGGTTCCAGGAGTGAGTGAGCCTCCAAAGAATCATAGTGAAGATGGATCATATTTCTTCAGATTCAAATTCAAGGGGAGGAAAGAGGACCTTATCTTTCGGTGGGGAGTGTCTATATGACATTGTAAGAACATGTGAACTGGGCATGATGTGCAGACTTGTTACCCTGGAACTCGGGAAGTGGAGTCAGGAGGATAAGGAGGTTAAGGCTAAGCACAGCTAGTGAGTACAAAGTCAGCCTGAACTACATGAGACTCTGTCTCAAAAATTAAAACCAACAGAAGAACACATTGGGTATGAGATAAGACTGTCTTAGAGTTTCTACTGCTGTGAAGAGATACCTGGACCACGACAACTCTTTGTTTGAATTTTATGTGCATTGGTGTGAGGGTCAGATCCTCTGGAACTGGAGTTAGACAGTTGTGAGCTGTCATGTGGGTGCTGGAAATTGAACCCAGGTCCTCTGGAAGAGCAGTCAGTGCACTTAACTGCTGAGCCATCTCTCCAGCACCCATGGCAACTCTTATATAGGAAAACATTTAATTAGGGCTGGCTTACAGTTCTGAGGCTTAATCCATTATTGTCAAGGCATATGGCAGCATGCAGGCAGACATGGTGCTGGAGAGTTAGCCAAGAGAACTACATCAGTATTTGCAAGTAGCAGGAAGAGTGACACTGGGCCTGGTTGAGCTTCTGAAACCTCAAACCTACCCCAGTGGCATAATTCCTCCAACAAAGCCACACTTACTTCTACTAGGCCATACCTCCTACTAGTACAACTCCTTATGGGCCTATGGGAGATCATTTTCATTCAAACCACCACAATTATTATGGCTGTTTTTGGAAAACAGGGCCAGGCAATGTTGGCAAATGTCTCTAATTCTAGCACTTGGGAGGCAGAGGCAGGCAAATTTCTTGAGTTCAAGGCCATCCTGGTCTACAGAGCAGGTTCCAGGACAGTCAAGGCTACACAACAAAACAAAACAACAAAAAATAAAAAACAAACGAAAGAAAGAAAAAGAAAAGAAAATACAAACCACCATATGTTTATTAGAGCAAAGGGTTAAAGCATCTGACCCAGCCTTGGGGGGGGGGGCAGAGAGGTCATCTCTGGAGAGCAGTGTGGGGAAAGTAGAGTGTTGATAACTGACTTGGACTTTTCTTGAAAACCTCATTTTGAATCTTGTCTGCATTGTTTACTTAATTAATTCATTAAAATGACAACTTGATGAGCCAGGCATAGAGAGCACTGGATTATGGATACCAAAGACCCAATTCCTACCCTTGAGGAGCTGAAGAGTTAAGGGTTTAGTAGGAGCCAGGCATGGTGAACTCAGGAGACAGAGGCAGGCAGACCTCTGAGAGTTTGAGGCCAGTCTTGTCTACATAGTGAGACCTTGTCTTGAAAAAGAAATTTCTTAGGGGATTCAGAGAAGTTTGGGACCTTTTAAACTTGCCATCATACTTCCACTTTGCAGTAGTTAGGAAGAGTTTAAACTCCTCCTTTTTAGAGTTTTCAGAGGCTTCCTACTGCTTTTAGAAGTAGGAGAGATGGCTCAGCAGTTAAGGACACTGGCTGCTCTGCCAGAGGACAAGGTTCAATTCTCAGTACCCACATGTCTGTTAATGGCTACATGTGTTCAGTGTCCTCAAAGGCCAGAAGGAGGTGTCTAGAAGGAGTCAGATTCCCTGGAACTGGAGCTACAGATGGTTATGAGTTGTCATGTTGGTGCTGGGAATCAAACTCAGGTCCTCTGGAAGAGTAACAAGTGCTCTCAACTCCTGAACCATCCCTCTCTCCAGCTCCTTTCCCCTATTTTTTGGGATAGTGTCTCTCTCTGAAACTGGAGCTCATGATTTGCCTATACCAGTGAGCTCCAGGATCTACCTTCTCATTGCTGGGATTACAGGCACAGGATGCCATGCCTGACTTTTAGTGTAGGCATTAAGGATCCAAATGCAGGTCTTCATGTGTGCACAGCAGTCCGTTTACCACTGAAGCCATTTCTTTAGCCTCTATTACACTGGTTGTTTGTTTGTTAGATAAAGTCTCAGTGTAGCCCAGTTAGATAACTGATATTTATTTTTTCCTTTTGGTTTTTTGGACAGGCTTTCTCTGTGTAGCCCTGGCTGTCCTGGAACCCACTCTATATACCAGGCTGGCCTTGAGCTCATAGAGATCCACCTGCTTCTACTTCTTGAGTGTTGGGATTAGGGTGTTTGTGAAAAACTATATAATGATTATTATTGGTGTGTATCAGGGTATGTATATGGGTTAAGGGATATGTGGAGATCAGAGGATTGGGAGACTGGATCTAGGTCACAGGCTTGCTTAGTAGCTACTTTTACCTGTTGAGCCATCATCATAAAGGCCCTGACCTTGAACTTCTGGTCCTCCTGTCTCTACCTCCCAGTGTTGGATTACAAGTATGTACCAAAATACCAGGGTTTTATGCAGTGCATGGGATTTGAACTCAGGGCTTTGCCCATGCTAAGTAAATGCTCTATCAACTGAGCTACATCACCAGCCCCCATAATGTAGTTTCCTGTCTACCTTTCTCCCTTCTTAGAACTTAAAAGAATAGAGAGCATATCTCTCACTTATCACCAAACGCTCAGCACCTCACCCAGTACCTAGTCCAGAGCAGGTATTCAACAAATACCCACAAGAATGAACAAATATGTAATCAATGCTACACAAGAGACATACGGCAGCAATACCGATCACTTTCTGTGGGGACCAGGGGAGGCTTTCTGGAGAAATGTCATCCCAAGCTGAGACCTGAAGGACAAGGAGGTGTTTGCCTAGGGAGAGGGTAAGCGGGCAGGTGGAGAGGAGTACAAACTGCAGCGGTGAGAGGGTAGATGGTCAAGAGCATAGGCAGTGCAGTGGAGGGAGGGCAAAGCGAAGCCAGGCCAGGTCATGGGAGGTTTCCTAAATCAGGCGAGGGTTTCAGTTTGCTTTTACTTTATTTATTTTAAGACAGGGTTTCCTCTGTGTGGCCCTGGCTGTCCTAGAACTTGCTCTGGAGACCAGGCTGGCCTCAAACTCACAGAGATCTGCCTGCCTCTACCTCCCAAGTGCTAGGATGAAAGGCGTGCGCCACCAACGCCCAGTTCTATTTTGCTTTTTATAAACAACTGACATGAAATATATAAATAACAAAATTTATCCCTTTAAAGTATACAATTCAGAGTTAAGAGCTTTATAAGGGGAAGGACATTTTTAGATTTTCATTACAATTATTTTTTACATTACCTGCTAAGCCATCTGCAGGCCCCACATTTATTTGAGGGGGGTTGTTTGTTTGGTTTTGAGATAATCTCACTATATAGCCTGGAATTCTGATGTAGACTAGGCTGGCCTCAAACTCAGAGACTGGACTGATTGCCTTACCAATGCTGGGGTTAAAGGTTTGCAACACCAAATACAGTCAGATAAGCATTTGTAAATGGCTACAATGTCAATAGAGAATAGAATAGAGTAGGGGACAGTGGGAGAGACTGCCAGCCTAAACAACTTGGAAAGAAATGAGGGCAGCCAGCACCAGGACTGTGGAGACCAGAGGAGGACTAAAGTTAGAGCAATTTACCTGGTAGATGTCAGAGGTAAGGAAGAGCCATGAATGACACACAAGGGTCTGTGTGGCCTGAGAGGCCGGGACGATGGTGAATCCAGTGGCAAGAGGAGGAGGGCTGGAAGAGGAGGGTTAGTTAACTGTCTGTGGTAACTTTGTGACATGAAAATATTTGGGACTGGAGCTCTGGGTCAGTTCAGCCAGGAATTCCTGGCCAGCAGTAGCTGTAGCCAAGCTACAGGATGAGTCACCTGGTGAGTAAAGAGATCTGAGCAGAGATCCTGGCAGGATCAGTGCCTAAGCCAGGAGGATGAAAAGGACACTCACAGAGCAGAGCCAGGGAGGAGAAAGAGCTGGGTGGAGGGTACCATGGACGCTGGAGTGCACTTGAGGCAGGAGTGTCAAAGGTTGGGCAGAGGTCCAGTGATAAGATGACTGAGGTATCTGTGGATTTAGCAAGCAGCACCTGGATAGTGTCTGTTACAGAAGCCAGACTGCAGCTGCATGGGAAAGCACAGGGTGTTAGAAAACATCCAGCTACTTCTTAGAAGGGAGGAATGCTTATTTATTTATTTATTTATTTTTGTATAGTCTTCTGCCTGCATGTATGCCTGCTGGCCAGAAGAGGGCACCAGGTTTCACTATAGATGGTTGTGAGACACCATGTGGTTGCTGGGAATTGAACTCAGGACCTCTGAAAGAGCAGTCAGCGCTTTTAAGGGCTGAGCCATTTCTCCAACCCGGGAGAAATGCTTTTGCTTAATAACTATGTACACAATACTCTCCTTAAAAGCCATTTCTTCAGCCACAAGGGAGGGACAACAGACAGTGACAGCCAGGGCTACAGGCATAACCCTAGCATGGCCTGGACTAGCTGCATATAGCTCCTTATATGCAGCTGAGGTCAAATAAGTTATGGAGAGACAGACGCCCATCATCCTGAAGGTCCTTGAAAACATTCGGCCATCTCCAGTTTCTTTGTAGTTCTTTATGCTAGTCATTCTTCTGTAACAAATGTGTCTCTTGGAAATTCCCGAGATTTGGCAATATCTAGCATCCAGGAACATCTGTCATGATTAGGGAATTAGTAGAGCATATCTGTAACTAACTTTCTATTTCCAACCAAACAGTATTTGTGTCTGAGAATTACTGAGTCAAGTTAAATATGGTTATTTCATGTCCTGTCAGAGTTGGGTTTTATGCAAAATGAAGCAGAGCAAGGAAATGGACCAATTCCTGGGAATAATAGTAACTGAAGTTCATCTCTTGCACCTTAAATTAGGGTGTTTTTGTTTCATTCACAGTCACGAATCCTCTCACCCTGGAATCCTTTAAAAGGAATCCCTCTGAAGTGGGCACTGTCTTCTAGTGAATTGGATTATTTAGAACAACTACCAATTCTAGTGTCTACTCCTCCAGGTGGTGCTTTTTGTCAGTCAGCTCACTACAGGGTGAGGCAGGCTGGCCTTCAGACAGAAGAGATGACACTGGAGGACTAAGGAGCCTGTTGGGGGAGGGGGTAAAGTTAGTAAGTGGCAGGGTTTGTCTACCTTTCTGGCTCTGACGCTCTCTCCTTACGAGTACAGGGTAACTACATTACTGACTCTGTGATGGATTTCAGGGGTTATAGAGTTTTTGAATATAGAATCTTTTTTAAGATTTTTTAAAAATTTATTTATTATATATACAACATTCTGCTTCCATGTATATGTGAACAGCAGAAGAGGGCACCAGATCTCATAAGAGGTGGTTGTGAGCCACCATGTGGTTGCTGGGAATTGAACTCAGGACCTCTGGAAGAGCAGTCAGTGCTCTTAACCTCTGAGCCATCTCTCCAGCCCTGAATATAGAATCTTAAAAAACTAGTTTTTAAAAATATAAACTATATAAAATATATCTACTTTAGCCGGGCGTTGGTGGTGCACGCCTTTAATCCCAGCACTCGGGAGGCAGAGGCAGGTGGATTTCTGTGAGTTCGAGGCCAGCCTGGTCTCCAGAGCGAGTGCCAGGATAGGCTCCAAAGCTACACAGAGAAACCCTGTCTTGAAAAACAAAACAAAACAAAACAAAAAACAACCAACCAAACAAACAAAATATATCTACTTTAATCTGGCATTAACTTGCTTCTCCAATACAGCAAGCTAGATAGTAAAAAGGGCTAAGAGCAATTGCAGAAGTAGGAGGAAGCCAGCTGAAATTAGCAAGTATTGGGACACATCTGGAGTCTACACTGCAGGGTAGCTGACCAGCTGGGAAAGGTGCCAGGCAATTCTGCTGGGACAGAGGGACCCGACAACAGAAGCCAGGCATTTCCAGACAGCCAGGCAACAGCAAACTGCAGGATATCCCTTTTCCCAAAAGCTTGGGACAAACTGTGAGATTAGGGATGTTTTTAGATTGTGGGATATTTGCATATATATTATGAAAGATCTTGGGTATGGAATCATCCAAACTCAAAAGACACTTATGTTTCATATTTCTTACAGACATAGCCTGAAGGTAATTTAATGCAACATTCATAGAGTGTCAACATTTTTGCTGAGGGTATCATGTTGATATTCAAGTCTTAGATTTTGAAATATCTTAATTATCATATTAGAGATGCCTAATCTGTATAATAAATTATTTTATTAATAAAATATTTGTACATAAAGTACAACTCAATTTTGTATAGGGATAATTAGTTTCTTTCTTTCTTTCTTTTTGGTTTTTTGAGACAGGGTTTCTCTGTGTAACAGCACCAGCTGTCCTGGAACTCGCTCTGTAGACCAGGCTGGCCTCAAACTCACAGAGATCCACCTGCCTCTGCCTCTGCAGTGCTGGGATTAAAGGCATGCATTACCACCGCCCAGCTGGCATCAGTTTCTATGCTGGTAGTCAGGCAATTCAGATCTGGAGAGAGGCCCTTGAGTTTGGCTATAGAAAAGCCTGCTTTACCTCTAAATAGTTCTAGCCTGTGACCTTGGACTTTACTTTGGCCTCAGTTTCCTTATCTGTAAAATGAAGATTGTGAGGGTTACTGCTGTGTAAGGTACTGGAAGTAGTGAGGTACACCCTAAGACTTACTTAGGGACGAGCCTGAACACAAAGTGTAACTAATCTCATTTCATCTATAGAACATATTCTTGAACTTTTCTAATGATATTTTTGTTGTTATAGATTTCTATGAGGTCTTGAATTTTTAAAATCATATTTCATTTATTAATTTGTGTGGAGGGGAGCATTGCCAAAGCATGCATTTGTAGGGTATTGGTTTTCCCCTTCTACTGAATGGGTCATGAGGATTGTGTCTTAACCTTTTGGTCCATCCATCCCATTGCTGGCAGAGGTCAAGGCAACAGCTGGACATGAAGTTCAATGGAGGCAGAGGCAGATGGATCTCTGAGAGTTCAAGGCTGGCCAATCAGGGTTTACAATAGTGAGACCCTATCTCAAAGAAGGAAGGAAGCCAGGTGTGATGGTGTACCCCTATAGTTCCCAGCTATTTAGGAAGCTGAGGCAGGAGGCTCACCGCAACTCTCAAGTTTAGAACACCCTAGGCAGTACAGTGAGGCCCCATTTCTAAGCAAGCAGACATTAGCTCACTACTTCCCTCATAACTGTCCTTTCCACTTATTGAATCCTGTCACTTTATACTGTTAAGAGGGATTCTGAAACCAGCTGCTGACCCTACAGCTTCCTGGCCACTGTAGAGATAGGAAGAGCTTTGCTGGGCCAGTTCTGCAATATGCTGCTTTCTCTACAAATTGCTACTATGGTGCTTCTCTGGCCCTTGAAACAATTTTTGCAATTTCATCATTTCCTGGGCAAAGTCTATTTCTTCCCCCCCAGACAGTGTCTCACTGTGTGTAGCCCTGGCTGTCCTGGAACTCATTCTGTAGACCAGGCTGGCCTTGAACTCATAGATCTGCCTGCCTCTGCCTCCCCAGTGCTGGGATAAAAGGCAGGCATGATCACTGTAAATTTTGGTTTTATTAAGTTAAATGTATAAGATGCTCCTCTATGGCTTTGCTCATTGTATCTAAATGCTTTTTCATACTCAAGGTCAGAAAAACTACTTGCTGTATTTCATTTTTGTTCATTTAAAATTATTTTTTTAAATTGTATTTATTTATGTATATATGTGTTTTGCCTACATGTATGTCTGTGCAGTGTCCATGGGGGCTGGAAGTTACAAAGTGGGTTCTTGGAATGGAATCAACTCCTCTGGAAGGACTTGCTCCCAACCGCAGAGCCACCTCTCTCTCCATTCTCTAAATTTCTACTTAAATTTTTTTTTTTTTCAGACAGATTCTCACTTTGCAACCTTGACTGGCCTCCTGGAATGTGCCATGTAGACCTGGCTGGCCTCAAACTCTCTGAGATCTGTCTACCTCTGCTTCCTGAGTACTAGGATTAAAGGTGTGTGTCACCATGCCTGGCTCATTTAAACATTTTTTGTTTGTTTGTTTGTTTTTGTTTTTTGAGACAGGGTCTCTCTGTATTGCTTTGGAACTTGTCCTGGAACTTTCTCTGTAGACCATGCTAGCCTCGAACTCACAGAGATCCTCCTGCCTCTGCCTCCTGAGTGCTGGGACTAAAGGCGTGTGCCACAAACTCCCGGCTCATTTAACATTTTTAATTACTAATAATAGCAGATTAATCAGAAAAGGCTCCTTTTTTGAAGCAGGGTTTTGTTCTGTAATTTAGACTGGTCTTGAATTTAGAACCCTCAGACTTTAATTTTCCACTTTTAACACTCTCCCTACCTATGCTTCCCCCCTCCTCTTCTGTTTTAGGGCAGGGTCTTAACCAGGTTGGCCTCAGTTTTTCTGGGTAGCTCTGGATGGCCTTTCATTCTTGATCTTCCTGCTTTCACTTCCCAAGTACAGGGACTACAGATGTGCACCACTCTGCCTAGACCTGTCTTTCTCCTTCACTCTGCCCTCTGGAAGTGGACAGACTTACTTAAGGAATGCGGATTTGAGGATGGTTTTAAGGTGCCCTTGTGGCTGAGTGATCAGTAACACATACTGCTGTCACAGAGGACTCTGCTCCATTCCCAGCACCCACAGTGGGTGGCTCACAATCACCTCAACTCCAGCTCCAGAGGCTATAATGCCTCTGGCCTCTGCAGGCACCTGCACTAATGTGCACACAGACATAGATATTATCAAAACTAAAATATTTTGAAAATAAAAATCTAAAAAGCTACCATGGTGCACATTGACTCACAAAGGAAGCTGGTTAGGAAAACATTCCTGAGGGACTTAGTCTGACATCACGGGTGGACTGCAGCACTTTGCACCTTAATGGTAAACAACCAAGGATCCAAGGATAGTGGTTTGCAGGAAGATAAATGAGAAGCCTGGCACACTGGCAGGGTAAAGAGTGGCTAAGAGATTCACCATGGGAATTCAGGCTGGTAGACAAAGGTGAAGTCAGGAGAAAATTTGGAATTAAAGCAAAGGACAATTTCATGGGTCAAAGAACAATGGGGGGTAAGTACATGAGAAAGCAGGGCAGAAAGCGTGACTAAAGTGGGTGTCCTCTCTTTCATACTGCAGAAGATTGGGAGCACCCTGAGTGTGACAGAGGAAGGTCCCCAGAAGCCATGAAATCAGGGTCTACAAAGTCAGGTGACGAGGCAATGGCAGCATGGGGCCAGGGTTCAATATCCAGGGAATACAGGGAGTGATCAAGAGGTAAAAACTTGGTAATAGGGAGATTATGAAAATGAATTGTCTTTCTCATTTAGAATTATAGTTATTTATGTGTTTCATTTGTAAATGTGTGTGTGCATACTGTGGGTGCATACACCATGGCAACAACTGAGGCCTTGAGGCTGCAAGTACCCACTGAGCAATCCCACTGGCCTCAAAACTAACCTCAAAGGGAGAGAAGTTGGGGATCTGAGCAAGGCTTCGGGAGCCTTCAAGGAATGCAGGTTTTTAATACAAGAATTTTAATAGGGAATTTGGAAAGAACCCTGGATCTAAAATTATATTCTCCTAGGATGGGGCTGTAGCTCAGTGTAGTCACTGGCTAGCACACATAAAAACTTCCCTCAGATATATGATCTGGTTCA